CCCCAAAACCCCAAAACCCCAAAACCCCTTGATAACAGATAAATGCGAAATTGAATTCAAAATTAAATTATTATCATGAAAATGAATAGCAATGATCATTAGCTTTTGAATTCATTAGAATTCGTGAACCATTATTAATTAAGGAATTTATTGGAGGCTGATAGACCTTTGACAGAGGATTCTTAAGGAGTTCAGCACCTGAAATCATTGGAACCAATAAATTATATTTGCTTGGGTGTTCTGCTCCTTATTCTTCTCTGCTTACTAATAATTTTGAAAAATCACTTCATAAAATATGTGGGGTTCTATATAATTCGCAGAGACTTTGAAAGACTCAAAGCTGTGCCAACTAATTAACCCCTTGATAATGGTTAAAACTATTAAAACACGCCGATTACTTCAAAAAGACTCACATTCAGTTAAAAGAAGTAGATATTCAAGGAAAACTTTAAAAGAAATATGACCCTTTATCATCCAGTGTTTTACTACTTTGCTTAAAAGATCACCTAAACTCCAATTGTAAAATTGCCTTTCTAAATTCATAATGGCCTTACAATCATTTCTCTGCTAATTTTAGCTACTTTTGCATTACTAGTGTCTAGAATAAACTCATCAATTTGTGAGATTCAGAAGTTTATGAGAGATAAGTCTTTCTAATGCCAGAATGCAAATAATTAAGGAATTTAAGGAGACGGTGTTTTATAGCTTGGGCTATCTGTCTTAGTAGTATTAATTTCTCTCAGTTTTATAATAGTTGGCACTTACTATATTTCCAAAAATTATTTCAAATTTATTGATCAGTTAAGACTCAGCAATTTAGAAACTTATGGTACAAACTAATAGTTGACTCAAGCTAAAGAAGAAGCTGATTTGAACAATCCCAAGAATTTGAATAATAATGGACTTGGTGAGTAGCAATTGACTCTATAAAATATGTTGGGTGAGGACTCTGAAACAACACGTAGATCACTTAAGCCAACTAAACAAGATAAGAATTCTAAGAAGAACTTATTTTAAATCAATGAAGATGAAGAAGAAGAACCATTTTCTCCATCTAAAAGCAATAATTCTGAAATTTAAGTAGGAGATTCTTTATCTCATAAAAACGTCTTAGATGAGAATAAGAATCTCCTTAATAATGGGAATAGCACTAACTTCCTCAAACTTTCTTCTTCTCAGCTGGATTACCAAATCAATGACCCACCTCAATTCTCAAGTTACAACAAAAATAATGAAATTGAAGGAGAGAACATGAGTAGAGAAAGCCATGAAAAAAATAAGAAATATTTGAAAAATGCTTATTCTGATGCGAACCTAATGAAAAATAACGGATTAAATTAAGTTAAGAATTAATTAAGACCAAAGTCTCAATTAAAATCTAATAGGCATAACAATAATAGCCAATTTAATAAGAATGGCACCTCTAATTATGGTTTGTCTGATGATACAACTATCATTGATGGTGGCATAATGAATCAAGCTAATACAAGTTCTAAAAATTTAAATATGGATTAGGAAAATGAAGATTAGATGGACATTGAAAAATTTGCAAAGGATAGAAGGTAAGTAATGACTACTTAAAAAAGATGCTCATTTGATAAAAATACTCCAAGTCAGAATGAATTAAGCTAAAATAGTAAGGAAGAATCTAAAGATGAAGATTCAAGCAGGATTTTAATGATGAAAAATGGACAAAGGACTTAATGCCCTAGCAGAGAAAGCAACTTAAGTCAAAGCTAAAATACAGAAAAAAATTAAGGGATATATCAAATATTGCTTGTAATTTTTTTACTAGCTATAATATCATCTCTGATTCTATGTATTGGATTCTTAAGCTATTCTTTCTACAATATGACAACCCATGGTTTAGTCAATGCTCTTAGTATTTTTGGGTTGTCTGTTATTCTAGATATTATGCTTTTAAGAGTGATTGTTATTGCAGTTATATCAGTTATTACAGCGCATAAAGAGATTAAGATAACAATAACTCAAAAATTTACTTAAGCAAAGCTGATTGAAGATGATGAGATAGGCTTATTAGAGGATATCTATTTAGAATACTAGGCACCGATAAATAACTTCATGACTTCTCACACTCAAAACACTTCCATAAAATTTAATTGTAAAAGCAATATAGAGAAAGATGAGGAATCATCAGACTAGCAAATAAATTTGAATCAAACCCCAGATAATAACAACAACCCTTAGGAGCCGGTAAATAATTATTTAACAAATTAGAGATTTTTGAAGTTTAAATCTAAGAATAATAAAATGAGCTTAGGAGAGATGATGCTAGTAGACTCCACATATTTCTATCATTAACCATAACTAATGCCACTTAGTGAGATTAAAAAGCAAATTGAGATACACGAATAGGAATTAAAAGATGAAGCTAAGATTATTAACAGATCCAAGTAAAGTCACAAACAAAAAATTGAGATATCTGATACAATATAATTTGATGCTGAGAGAGACTTGAAGCTAAGGCAAGCTCATCAAGAAAAATCTAAGGCGAAGGATACTAGCAACTATGATATAGAAGAAATTTAAATGGATTCAATGAAAAAAGAGTAGTAAATTGAATACATAAATCCTTGTGATGATCCAGAAGCATAACTCTAAGATTCGAATTATCGAAGTTCAATACTTCCTTAAATTTTGACATCTCATCATTAGTTTGAAACACCAAAAGGATTGCATACCAAAGCTTAATTTGCAAGACCAATACTGCCTGGAATTAATATTAGTTAGCAAGCTATAGCATTTAATGAAATAAGAGAATCGATAAACGATAGAATTTTACTAAGAAATCCATCATAACTTAATTCAAATTCTAGTAAAAAACTAAAAGCTTAATTAGGAAATGGTTCTGAGTATCAATCATTGTAAAGATATCTAAATGATGATAAGGAAAATCAAAATTCAATCAATAAAAGTTTGAAGAAAAGAGTCTCAATAGGTGCTAGTGGATTGAGGTAAAAAAAGTACTTGGATGAGCAATAGCTAATTTTTAGTCCCAGTTAGAATATTTTAAATTTCTAGTAAAATTAAGATGAACTTATTAGGTTCAATCCATAGTATACCAGTTTAAATAAGAAAAATACAATTAATGGGGATAAGAATTCAGCTAATCAATCACTAAGGAAGTCATTAGCACTGCCAGAGATGTTTTCTGAAATGAGTGAATGCTAATTAATAACTTAACTAAATAAAAGCAGAAGTAAAAAGAAGCGATCAAAGAAAACTTCAACTGTCAAGAAATAAAATGAATAAGACAAAGAAAACAGTTAAAATGAGGAAAGCAATTTAAAGCAACTTATAAGTGGTAGAAAAAGCTTTAATTCACCTTCAAAGATTAAAGAAAACCTTGAAGAAAAACTTATGAAGCTTAATTAAATGTCTAATCAGAGATAAAGCCTTGAAATAAAGCTAATGAGCTAACCAGATATACAACCATTTAGAGATAGGTAAAGGCTTAACTAGATTGATGATGAAATTTACACTGAAGCACCAACTATGGAGGTGCCTTCACCAAGATAACATAATGTACGATCCTCAGTCGAATTCGATAATAACTTAAAAAAGAGTCTTCCCTAAGTAAGAGATTCTGCAAATAGCACTAATTTGAAGTAGTTTTTGTAACCTCAGCTGATGAAGTAAAAAACAAAAGAGAAGCAGAAAAAGCAAGAGTACAACAGACTTGAGAGTAACTAATCTGAGTCAACAATAAATCTGAATAACATGAATGAAATGTTCAATGTGAAACCAATAATGAATAGCTCTGTTGAGGATACTATTGACTAAAAGACTTCATAAGTTGTAAGCTAGGCAAAGTTAAATAACTAGATTAAGCCGAAAATCAGGCCAAAGAAACTTGTGAAAAAGAAAAAAGAATAGGCAATGCAAAATACTTTTTAAACTGAGGAAAATTCGAAGTCATTCATTTCAAATACTCTTGGAAATTTAATGAAAGATACTGAAGAGCAAATTGAAATAAGTGAAATTAACAGAGACACTCACAACAATTCTAAATTCGATGATACTTATAGATCTAAAATGTTTGAAGATAGTGATCAATCAACTTTCAGAATGATAAACTTCACCGGTGCAGCTGGGCTAGGAAGCAGATAGAGGTCCAAAAGATAAATTTCTTCATAAAATGATTATATCACTTCCTAGACATCCTAAAACAATATGACTGATAATAGTAGCTAAGCCCCAATCGATTTTTATTCTAATGTATCATAGCCACTTAACTTTAAAGAAGAGGAAAAAAAGGTAAAGGAATATAAAGCAGGATAGGATTAAAAGAAATCTAAAAAGCCTAGTGTGGCTGAGATTATATTAGAAGAAAATATTGCTACTGTTAATTCTTCTCCAGAAAAGAACCCTAAAATAGCAATATTTAACATTTAATAATCTGCTAGTTCCTCAAAAATTAATACTTTTAGATAGGATGATGTCTCTGATGTTGTGGAAGATTAAAACATCGGAGAGTTCAACTTAGTCGACTAAATAGATGAATTAAATGTTGAGATATTGGAAAAGTAAATTAATGAGGGCTAGGAACAGCAAAGCGAATGTGATTTCAATCCAAAAGAATCTAATCTAGCTCATTATATGAATAAGAAGTCTGCTATCCAAATATTGAGAAAACCATTGTAAAGCAAAGCTGATACAAATGATATGGAAAGCACACAGAGAGAGAAATTCAATTCTGCATTTGACTCAGCTAATGTCAATCAAAATCTTAGGTATCAAGAGGAATAAAGAAGAAAAAGAGAAGATCTTGAGATACTTCAGTTGAGAATTGAGGAATAACGAAGAAAGTTGAAAAATTTTTTAAAACTAGCAAGACAACTAAAATCCACAAAAGACGAGAAAAAAATTAAGGAATTTCTAAAATACTTTAAAACCGAATAAAAGCCTTTGCCCTACAAAAAAATAAACGAGTTGAAATCATTAGAAATAATGAGTTCTCCTTACAATCAATCATTAATTGATATGATTAAGGATGAGTATGACAAGTTTAGCAAAGTTGATAAAAAATCTTAGAATGAAAATAAACATGAGTAGCCGAAAAATAAGTAATCAAAGTCGTAAATAAGAAATATGGCTAAGCAAAATGATCTGATATCTAAACTTGGAGGAATATATGGATAATCAATAGGCAATTCTTAATTTGCTTCAAACTAAAGAGATCAAAGTCAAAAAGGAAGAGCAGATTCCATTACAAGTGACTTCAAGGTTAAAGAAAAACTAGCACCATCTAGAAGCAAGCTCTTAATAAGTTCAAGGTAAAAATTCTCAAGAGATTCTTCAAATAGCGCAGTTGAGCAATCAATGAGATTTAAGAAAAGAGGTAAAAGAAATTAAGTGCAGCTTCTTGATTCAAATACCAATACCAATCCTACATTCTCAGGAGCAGATGATTCTTAAGTAGTCACTTTGAAAAACTAACTAAAAGTTGAAAATTTCGGATAAACTACTTCAGAGGAAGAGGACAACATAAATAAGGTAAAACTTGTTCAAACTAAAAACAAGATTGAAATTAGAGACTCTGATGAATTCAATAATTTAGAGTCTTTCTTGCAACAGTGAAAATGATCGGATTTAACAGAGATAAACAGATTTATTAGTATAATTAGACATAATAAAAATATAAATTTGGTTTTAATAGATTTAACAATGAAATATTATCTTTTCACTCACATCATCATATCTCCTCCTGAATCGTCTCTTGCAGAATTACCACCCTACAAAGTGTATAATTACTAATAAATTTACTCTATCATTTAAGTTTCTCTATAAGAACTATTTAGTAAGCTGAAGCCCCTTGTCAAGTCCTTGAACATTGCTCATTAATTTAATGATTCTCTGATTCTGATTCTCTAATTCTTCAATCACAGTTAAATATTCAGCCTCCTTAGCATCATCTTATTAACTTGCGCTAGTCATTGAGGTGGAATCTATAAAGGATATCATTTCTTTTTATGAATCAATCTTTGCCTGACTTTCATCTTAATTAATCATCTCAAATAGAGTATCCTCAATTTCTTTATTATCTGTAAGACTATTTACAGAGTTCTTTATCTCACTATAATCTCAATTAAAACATTAATTTTCTTACTTATATCTCAATGTTAGATAAGTGTTGCTGAGCTCCTTAACTCTGACTCTTTAGTATTTCTTTTAGAGCTTTTTAATTAAGCCATAGTTTTTATCTTTGAAAAACTCTTCTTAGTTATTTTCAATGATTTCATTAAATAACTTGTCATCCTTGCCAATGTAGGAACTTCCAAGATTTCTATAACAAGCAAAAGATGTCTCAAGATTATGCTTTAGCATGACATTTGTGTATTTTGGAATATCGGGCATCTATCCTTTCTCTAATAGATTTAAAAGAATGAGTTTCTTGTAGGACTCAAGATGTATCTTGTGAGTTAATTGACAAGGAAATGATATAACAAGTTTCAAGCAGTCAATAGCATTCTAGAACTGTTTAAGAGCAGTGTAAATCAAGGCCTTGTAATACATATAATTTAAGATATCCATAGCCGACGTATTTTTCTTAAATTATATAACTGGATGATCTATAACTATAAGTGAGTGTTGGTAGCATTTAGCTTTGATGCAGAGCCTAGCAAACTCCTTATGAAGGGATCCACAGACTTGTTCATCATTCTATCTAACTTTGAAAATCACATTCTTTAGGGTATTGATTCCATAGATTGCCTTTTTCTCAGATATCAAAAGTTCACTAAAAATAGTAGCTAGCTCGTAAAGTTTCCTATTCTAAGTTGTAACTTAAAGAGGCACGAAGTTTTGAAAGTAATTATTGATAAGGTCAATCTGATCGTTAGCATCAATGAATTAGTGTAGAGCGCTCTTATTTTGGTAAAGAGAAGTGATTAACCAAAGTTGAATAAGTGAATTTTTAGCTGCATCTGTGTTGTTTTTAATCAACCTTAGTGTATCACTTTGCTATTTTTATCAATAAGTAAAAAAATTTACTTACATTTGCAGCCATGACATGTGTCTAAGACTTCATAAACTCATTAATCTGCTGAAAGTCTTCAAGATTCCCAGCAAAGTTCTGAATAAAAGCATGCACTTCGTTCATTTTATATCTTTTGTCTTAATTTATTTATTATTACCTCTGCTAGATATTTCAATTCTACTTTTGGGGTTTTGGGGTTTTGGGGTTTTGGGG